TGACTAAAGGCTCAAAGAAATGCAGCAGTTAGCTTAAAAAAATGGTTATACTTGAGGATAAGTGTGGGCCTTGTACTGTCATCAAGCCCAGGTTATCTTTCTGTTATCTGGTTTCACTCACCTCAACATGAACGTGGTTATCGACTGAGAAAGTGAAGCCAGAGTTTTCCCAGTCTAGCTGCAAGGGCACAAAAGAGCCGTCTTTGGCAGCGTTGTTGTCACATTTTTTAATATAAAGAGTGACATTAGTAATTTGAGCTATGGAGGTGTTAATTGACAGCTTTCATGTCATTGCAGTATTTTTCAGGGATGGCTTTTGCTCGGCACGTGGACAGGGAAACACCACATTAACAGCAGAGCAGGAAACTAGATGTGTAACTATTTATTTATTTACTTAGAAATATGTTCTAGAGAGTTTCCTCATCAACCGGTCGGCCTCCTCGCAGATCTTTGCGCTCTTGCTCCTTCATCTGTTGTCGTAAGGCCTCATCCATGATGCTGCCAGTATCACCCAACTTCTCCTCCCCCCTCCCCCTCCTCCTCCTTGGCCTGGAAGGAGACGGTCAGAGAAACAAACTGACTCCCATCCCATATACGTGTACTGCACATGCTGCATGTCTGAGCATGCATTAAAGGTGGGTGTCTGTGGGTGGGCTGCACCTCCCTCTTGTGTCTGCACTTTAAGGTATTCTGGATGCATTCTTTCATGCATCTCTCTTATCTGTAGTTTATCTCGATCTTTCACCTCATCCTGCAACAGCTTCTCCTCCAGCTGCTTCTGGATCTGCTCACCAATCCTCTGCCTTAGTCTGATATAACAAACATGAGGTGACAATTCTTCTAATTTACATCCACTGACTTCAGCAGCATAATGATTGCAAAGTGATCTTATGGCAAAGCTCATAAATCCTTTCGGTCTCCAACCTATTGATTCTCCTGCGTATCTTGTTTGACTCTGCTGAGCGCTCTAAACCAGCTGAGGTAGCCACACACCCATAATAGAGTAGTTCATGTGAATGTACACCAGACCTATATTAAAAAAAATAAAAAAGGCTTTTCTCATTCACATGTCCAGGAGCTGCTTCCTGCCAAGTGCTGGGCCTTGACCTCCATCTCCCTCAGGCCGTTCTGGGTTCTGAATAAATCAATTTAGTATATTTTAGTTTCCTCTGCTGTTTAGATTTCTGTATGAGGAATAAATAAAAGATTTAAGAGGTTACTGTGGTGTTATTAATCTAGAAGTCAAGTGTCAGTGATGATATTCGTAATGGCTTTGCTAGTGTTACAGCTGTAAAATGTGTTTTTCTTTTCCATCATGTGGATGTCTGGGCACGTGAGTGTTTCCTCCCAAATTGCAACCTGGCACCAGGATGCAATATGGGAAGAATGCAAGCCTGAAGAGGCAGTGTGATGTTTTGAGCAGTGTTCTGCTATTAAACCTTTGTACACCTTCAGGGGTCTAGTGGACCCCCTATAGCCAATCACAGTGGAGTAGCCACGTCTTACAATCAGAGAGTTATGGTGCACACATATAGTACTGGGTAGCACTATAGCCCCTGTCAATTTTTCTCCACTGTTTTCAAGGTCATTTTTGATTTCTACATGAACAGAGCGCTGCTTGCACTTACAGGCTGGAAAGTGTTGAAGGAGGGTGGAGATGAGAGGCAAGAGAGATGAATGAAATAGATCAAAATGAGTCTAGGAACCAAAATAAAAACAGATGGAACAGAGTTGTCTGTTTTGGATTTATAAGGATGGATTAAAGAGGAGGAGTGTGTGCTTGTGTGTGTGATGCTCACAGTTGTGTCTGACTGCCGGGGTCGGATCATAAAGACTGACAGACACACTGCTCGCAGAGGTCAGTGTGACGGCCAAAATCCTCCATCACTCTCAGTATCTCATGAGGAGTGAGAGGGAGAGCAGAGCTGAGAGGGGAGCCAGGTTTCTCTTTCACCTTCCACACTCACTCGATGATGCAACTGAGGACAAAGTGAGGGAGGCTGAAGCAGGTGAGTGCGCTTTAATTCACCGCTTGACACAAAGTGCTCAGACGTATTAGTTTGAGCATCTGTCTCCCGGAGAGCTTCCATAGCGACAGCTATTTTCACCCGTTTTCCTCCTCTGATTTGGCTGTCTGTCTTCCCACCAATTACCAGCAGTGTGTGATTTTCTGTCACAGTCTTTTTATTCTTTAAATGTGATTAGTAGTGTAAAACCAATCAGGCCCCCTTCACTCTCTCTTTTAAATGCCTCACTAATCTGAGGCAGTTGGGTAGAGCCGCTTCTCCTTGGAAACTAATAACAGGCTGCTGGTATTTTTAGTGGCATACAGGAGTTATACCTGACGTCAAGCAAATTTAACAGATTCCCTTATGAAGCATTTCATTTACATTGCAAGATATATATTTTTTTAACTTGCTGTTTAAATCAAGTCAAACACGTCTCAGTATCGTGTCTCATTCCCTGTTTCTCCTCCATCAGCCCAAGCCCTCATTTAAACCCTCGCGCGATGGCATTCGTGCAGCGGATGCGCTCCCCTTGCCTCTCCTTTGTCCAGACATTTTTGTCTCTCCTCCTGAGCACCACGGCCCTCATGTCCTCCTACTGGTGCGTGGGTAAGCAGAAGGTGCCCAAACCGCTGTGTTCGCCCACCAAGCAGACCAATTGCATCCCCGTTCCCGGCGTCTCCAACTCCTCCAGGATTCAGTTCTTCTGGGAGACCGGCGACGACCGCTTTGTCTTCCCCAACTTTCACACCGGACTGTTCATCATCTGTGAGGAGAACATCTACATAGATGAGTGGGGTGAGAGAAAAGAGGGGAGTGGGTAGAAATGTGACAAGCCTAGAATATTGTGATTGATTTCTGTTGTCCAAAGTAAAAACAAAAGTCAAACAGAAGTCCTTACAGACCACAATGGAGAGTCAAAGGACAAAGTTGCTCAGTTTCTTACAAAAGCCCAGACGTGGCACCACTGACCCTGAAGGGGATTAACAGGAATAGGCACTAATGAATGAGAGAGCACTGGATTTGGACAAAGAAGCTAAAAATAAGCACCGATGCTCCTCTCTAATTTATCTGGTGATGCTTGTAACATTCAATCAGTATCACCGGAAGGTTTTTTATAAGCACGCCCTGATCATACTTGATGATTAAACTGCGTGGTGAGTAGAGGATACTCCCAAGGTTAGCCAAACATCTGCCCAGAAACAGGAAGCGAAAGGAATCCTTAGTCCAGCATTAGACACCGAAATGGGTGACAGGAAGAGAGGAAGTGCAAGGTGGTAATGTGAAGTGAGGACTCAGGTGTGTTTGTACGTGTGCGATTGTGACTGTATTTGGGTGGGCGCTCGGCACAAAGAGGATTATCATCTGTGTTTATGTTCTGCTAGCCGAGATTTAGACTTCAACAGCATGACTCAATTATGGATTAAAACCCGGAGAGAGAAAGATTGATAGGATTCACAAACATCGACCGGGTATTCACCGTCTCATTTGCAGCTGATCTGCAGCAGATTTGAAGGATGATTATCAATGTTTACGTTAAGCCCCTTCAAAAATTCAACTGACATATATGGTTAATTAAGTAAAACTCGACATTACAATACACGAGCTGTGCAGGCACCCTAATCTCGTGGTCTCCAGCTATCTGTTACCATGTCTGCAACAGAGTAAATCAAGTGTTGAGAGAGAAAAGGCTTTCTCCTAGCAGCCCATCCAAACAAACCATACTTGTTCAGTTATTTTCTAATCATGCTGTCATGAACTTTAATATTTAACATGCTAACTGGGGCCTGTAGAGTCTGAGATAGAGCACTTTGGGGGGGTTTTCAATTTCTTTGAGCGTTGGATGATCTGAGCCCACTCCTTGGAGAGGCGTGTGGCTCATGAAGTAGATCAGGTCATCTGCAACCTTCATATTAGTCATTTACTAATTTGTGGTTCGATTCCTGACTCCTTCAGTCTGCATACCAAAGTATGTGTGGGCAAGATAATGAACTCTGAGTTGCTCCTATTATTATTAACGTGTGTGTGAGTATTAGACAGAGAGCGCTTGGTTTAAAAAGGGGTTGCAGTCAGGGCTGTCACCTCCCAGCAGGGCTCAAATCCACAATCTCGCCCAGGCCTTTTCTGTGTGGAGCATGTTCTCCCAGTGTCTGTGCGGGTTCTCTACAGGAACTTTGGCTTCTTCCCACAGACCAAAGACATGCAGTTAGTGGGGTTAGGTTAACTGGTTGGTTCTAAATTGTTCATAACAAATGTGACGTTGAATGGTTTACTGTCTGTGTTAGCCCTGTGACCCTGTGGCAGCTGGGATAGACTCTTGGGTCCCTTCTGTCTTCAGATTGTTTAGAAATGACCTTATAACCCAGATTGATGGGCAGTAACTTCTCTAAGATCACTGATGTCTTTCCTCCTCATCATTGTATTAACACACCTGACTGCTCCAGACCAGCAGTCCTCCAAAACTGCTTTACAGAGGTGCTCACACTCACTGATGATCGGTTAATCAAGTGCATTTGATTATCATTCTCTACTCTCTTAATTCCAATGAAATCAGTAAGGAAGGCATTTAGCCTTAGTGTTGGTTTAATAAATAATATCAGTGTAATAAGTCACGTGTTTTTTACAACCTCCTACGGATGTGAGGATGCTGTTTACTTATAATTATGTCCTGACACATAACACCGTAGAATAGAAAGAGTTTGCACTTTCTTTTTTACACGACTGAAATTCAAAAATAATTCAAAGCAAGTGCGGCGCGGTGTCCTTGGGAGCTCTGAGCACCAATCCAAAGATAAAAATCAAACAAAGCAAATGAAGAAAACCTATAACAACCCAGAGGGGAGCGCAGAGTGATGAAGGCCACGAGCCTGTTCATTACTGTGTTTTTCTTAATGCACTTTGCACATGCGTGTTCAAGTTAGTGAAAATCTGTTCCTCATTTCTCCCCCTTTATTTGCATCTGTTTTTCTTAAGTCTCCGTATGCTGTACTTTCAGGGCCACCTCGGTGTAGAGCCATATGGTACTCGAATTATTTCAGCTGCCATGTAAACAATTAGATAAACAGGCTACAAAGAGGCTTAACCCACTACTGGCACACGTTGCTACTGTTTTTAACGGCCCGTTTGATTGGTGGAAACAAAATGCGGCAATATTGAAATGAATCTAATCTAATCTAATGTTATAAAAATGGAAAACACAACAGTCTCAATGTGTGACCCTGTAGCCACAATCTTTCGAGATCTGAGCTAATCTTTTAATCTCCTATCACCAGGTTAACTCAGGCCATTACAGCACTCATGCAAACGGTCATCTCAAATCTGGTTTCTCACACAGTAATTCGATTGCAGTGTTTATTTACACTGAGAGTAATTACGCAGGGGCTGGCGGATTTTGGGGAGAGACAATGCTGCAATGGGTCTTACATAAAACATTTCCAGAGCAAACTCTTCTCATGTTTTCTTCTGATTTCTAGAGGAAAAGTGTCGAGGCTTTTACACACTCCCCCCAGGATCTGAAAAAGGTAAAGTTTTGCGGTTTCTCCCGCAGTGTCGTTTGAAATCCGTTCCCTCATCTGTCTCTGCTCTCTCAGCCTCTCCTCCTCCTTCTCCTCCTCCTTCTACAGCAATGCTTTGGCTGTCGCTGTCAATGGAGCTCGTGAATATCGGTCTGCTGTTAATCAGCTGCATACTGCTGTCCGTGCAGCTGTGTATCAGGGCCTGGTTTCCCTCTACGCAGCACTGGGGCCAGCTGCTCAATGCTTTTGCAGCTGTCTTCACAGTCCTGGGAGGTACAATATTTAGATGCATAGTCAAATCAGAGTGACTTCTGTTAACACCGCAGAAACACCGACAGAGTGACCAGGTTGTTACATTTCCTCGTTTTGTCCTCTCAGGTCTGCTTGGGATGGTCGGTCACATGATGTTCATGCAGGTGTTTCAGACCACTGCCTCAATGGGACCAGAAGACTTCAAGCCACATAGTTACGGGTACTCCTGGGCATTCTAGTGAGTTCTTTAACCATTTATATTACATATGAAATGTAGAAAATCACAGTGGTTCAGCCCAATTAGTTGTTCCCTCTCTGACTCAGACCATACTGGTATGATGATAATCTATTCCTCATGTTTATTGCTAAGTGCTTGTCTGACTGACTAAAATTCTTGTTTTGGGGATGAAAACAGGAGAATAAACATTCTTTTCCTGGCTCTTATGTGAATCAGACCAATTTTTTTCCACACCAAATTCCTTGAGCTGTTTGTTTGGGATTCTTTGTGGGACCTCTCAATCAGCTGGGGATCAAGTCCCTCCAGCTTGTCACGCTACTGAAATCCCCTCAAATCATTTGCCCACTTAAAACGACAGTTTTACAACTCTCAGCTTCTGGAAATAAGTTCTTCTGCAAACACACAGTTGCTTGATGCGTTTTAGAGACACAGTACTGTGCAAAAGTCTTGAGTCATCCCTCATTTCTTTATATATTTTTTTAGGAAATAGGTGCATCAATTTATTGCAACGGATTCCAACATACATAGGATACAATATGTGTATATTCTATGTAGAAATACAATATAGCAAAGTCCTGTGTCATTTTTTAAGGACATGACTTTCAGATACTGTTTATCTGCTTTAGGCCTGCCAATTCTTCTCTTCCACTTGTCCAGTATAAATAGTATAAAAGTCAGAGTTTCTGAGTTTTCCCTTTAAGTCCAACTTCCAAGTTGAAGTTAACAATCCAAGATGGTAGTAGGGCACCAAAAAGCTACTCGGAATAATATTACTACTTGTGAAAAAACAAAACGTTGTGAAACGTTTGTGATGCCGTTTCTGTTTCTCCTCCTCTGCCTCCAACAGTGTGGCCTGGCTTGGCTTCACCATCTGCATGGCTGCAGGTGTCTCCACCCTGAACAACTATACCAAAAAGGTCCTGATGGTGGGTCCCAGGCGTGCCTCCGACCTCAACCCCTGCAGCTTTAACTTTATGGGACTCCTGCCACCTGCTCCTTACTACACACCACCAAATCCTGCCTCCAACCTCACCTGTCCCCTGTCTCCTCCTCGGATCTCCCACTTGTCTCCCTACTATGCCCCCCCTTCGGAAACATTGCCGCCCTCCGCCCCCACCCCAAGGCTCACGCACTCCCATTCACTTCCTATCTCGATTTCTAACTCCTTCCCTCCTCCCCCCTCTCACCCTGCACCTGGATCACCTTTTCACCGTCTGTCCCTGCCCTCACCATCTCCCTCACCTACACCACCCGTCTCTTACCACACGACCCTCCCAAGACACCAGGAGAGTCATTACGAGCAGGAAGAGGACTACAGCCCCCTCTGAGGACCTACACCTCTCTTAGAAATGCTGTGTGCTGGGAATATTAAACTTTATAGAACATGGTCCCAAATTCCCTCCATTTCTCAGTTTGAGGTCCTGCACCCATAGGTAGGTAACAATCACATTTACACAATGTTAGAAAACACAAGTTCTGTACTGACAAAATATGTAATATTAACTTTTTCTGCTTGTTGTAAATAAATTTAAACACAGTTTTGCATTCTCCTGTTTGTTGTGGAGGAATTTTGGCCCACTTCTTTATAACGTCTGTGAGCACATGGGGATAATTTTGTGTTAATACACAGAGGCAGTTAAAGATATACTTCGTTTTTCCTCTCTCTTTACTTCCTTCTAAACCCATTCATGTTACTAATGGACGTCATCTGTTGTGAGATGTTGCCGTGTTTCTTCATAAGTGTGTGAATGTGAGAGTGAATGAATAGTGGAATTGTAAAGCGCTTTGGGTGCCTAGAAAACCGCTATATAAATGCAATCCATTATTATTATTATAAGATTACACAACTTTTTTGTATTTATTAATTTATTTAATCAGAATATTTGAATATTTGTAAAATAAATATTTTTTTTTAGAACATAATAAAATTTTAACATTTGATGTGTTTCCTTTGGACTGCTTTTGTTAGAAAATAACATTTTAGTGATTCATAAACCAGTGCATTCATTTGTTATTTACAATCTGCAATGTCTGTTAATTAAATGATGAACATGTGGATAAGGACTGAGCATAATACAGAAGCTCCTCATTATGTATAAAATGTATATCAACCTTCACTTTGTGAGCCAGTGTAGTTAATTAAGAAATCCATGTCATGACAACTGGAGAAGAAAGAAAAAACACCTCCAATAACTGATTGAAAATCACGTTTTAATATAGTAAAAATCACTGTCAGTGTCATTCATCATGACGTACAAAGGTAGCAAAAATAAACAAGAGCATACAGAGCATCATGGGAAACAAATTATATTTACACACTACATCTCATACACCAAGAGTGAAGCCAGTTGCCTTTCAGTGTGGAAGCAGGTTTAATCTGGGTGATCGAATCTATGCTTTTAGAAACTAATGTGATTACATTTACAACCAGAAAAGACAGCTGAGTCTTTGAGTTATGTAAAATGGCAACTTTCAAACACTCCATGAGAACGTAACCAAAAGGCTTTTATGTGTTTCACGCTGAAACAAAGTAAATTCATTTTGCCTTTACATTTAGTATTAAACTGTATCTCCAGGGTTTGATTTGGTGTCTTCCCAATTACAAACAATTACAGCACAACCTCAGCAGCATCATAATATCGGCTTTCCACCGTATATCTTTGTATAGTCTTATTATATTTTTATATATTATGTAAGACTTCAAACAGATTAGCTACGGGTTGATTGCATTATGTTTTCACTCTGTTTATTCAGTGGCACACTGTATGAAGTAATACAAGGGCAAATTAAAAATTAAAAATCAATAAACTAACAACAACAAAAAATCTAAACAATAAAACTCACCCATTTCCATATTATAAATGTACATTACAAACTGTTTTTTTTATTATAATAGAGGGATATTAATAGGTCTTAGTCTATGATAGCATCTTATAAACATTAAGGCCTTTTTTTATGTAATTAAAAAAAATAAAGGATTGTTTATCATTAGATGCCCTCAATAAATCCAGCCCCACTCTGGGCTGGAAATACACTCAAATACAGCTGTGATCGACTGAGCCTGCAGAAATAAGCCCGAAACTCCGATTATCTGAAAGCAGGCTCAGTTAAACACCAGTATGTATTTGAGGAGGATCAGCAGATCTACTATATCTATAGCTGAAAATACACTAGCAGCTCAAATCTGATGTCCAAAACAGATACATGTAAACACAGACCACACACTGTAATTAAAGCCAGATTTTAGCTGGAAGAGCAGATTCAGTTAAGGGTTCCAGGTTTGAATTCTGGAGCTACTCAGCAGTCTTCTTGCGTAGCACGAAGTAAATGATGGAGGAGAGGAATGTGAGAGCGAAGGCGATCCACGCCAAAATGAAGCAATGGCCGTAACTACCCAGATTTTGTTCATTAGTATGGAAGCGGTCTGTGTAGATGGAGGCTGCGATCATGATGCACAGGCCTGAAGTGAAGGAAACATGGAGACGAGTGAAGATGCACATCAGCGGATGTCATACAGAGAGAGAAACAACATCAGTGAAAGGAATAAAACATAAGAGAAAAAAGAAATACTCACAGGCAAGGAACTGAAAGACACCAGAGACGAGGAACCTCTGTCCTTTGGGGAGGGTGAAGAGCTGAGCCACAAACACGAAGATTCCAATGATGGAGAATATACAAGCTAGCACCGAGCTGGCCTGCACTGCTTGGAGGTAACCTGCAGGCGGAGCCAGAGAGAACAAACGCAATGAAGATACAGAGTCTGTGAAAGGGTGTGGGGGGTGTAATAGCTTAAGGACACTCCCTGGAAACGGCAGCACTGCAGTCACATTGAACCTTTGAAAATCTCAGACACAGTTGCAATGCTGACAGGCAGGAACATTACGTTCAAACACGCCAAATGCTTTATGGTAAAAAGACGCTGATCACAAACAGCTAAAACAGTCTTGTATGTTTGACTCAAGGCAATAACTGCATACCAAAGGATTAGGAAACAGTCTTCATTTGCAATGCAAATAATACAGAATTTGGGTGAGTGTAAACTCATTGTGTGTCCCACCAAATGATGCAGATAAAAAGCATGTTCCTGGATTCAACTCTCAATGCTTAAAATAGGTGTTATATTTAATATGTGAGCTCCAGGCCCTAAAGTATTGTATCAGATAGTACTCTTAACAGAATGCACTGTATATATATTTAAATCTTAGTTATCTTCCCTTATAAATGAAGCATCACTGTTTAAAATCACAATGCAGTCACAGTGTGTTTGTGCATCTAACTGTGCCTGTGCAGCTCTGCTCAACTGACCAGCTACATGTCATAGCATCAAACTATTACTAATCTCTTACTTTGATTCTACACATACGAAAACGTAACACTGAGAGGTGCAAGCATGGAAACATGTTCTCTTACTCTCTGGGTAGTGTGTTGGAAGATCGACAGAATGCCATGAGTTATTCACGAAAACCCAGCGGGCCCATATATCAGTGGGCAAGTTTCCGGCTGAGATGACCCACCAGGCCTGACGGGGAAGACAAAGACAATATTTGCAAAAATATTAACAGAATTCTTGTGTGCTAAAGTAAAAGCGGTGAATCAGTATGAGTGGAATTTAAACAGGTAGATACTGCAGCAGCAGTTATGGTGTGCATTTGCAGGGGGAAATTATGACAATATGAAGAAGGAATTCACTCGTTCCTTTAATTGAGACAAATCTCACTCAGGTATGCAACAGTGGCTGCAACGCAGGTGAGACTCGCATGTAGGTATCCGTACTTGTGTGACGTATCTGTGTCATGGGGTGATGACACAGAGCTCGTCACCATATATCGCACAGAAATGTCAAACATGTGGCCATCCAGAAGAACAGCTGGCCGCACGCCGAGAAGGAATGAATTCCTCAACAGATGAATCAGTCTCAACTCTTTGCCCATCCATCATGTCAGAGATGCACAAGGCCTGAAGCTAAGGGAGGAGGCCAGCAGCAATGCTGGGGCAATTATGCCTTGAGCATGGAAGAAGTCTATACACGGATAACAAGAATTGCACTTACATTGTCAATGGTGGCCGTCAGGAGGATGATGATGCAGGCGATGTGGAGAACAAAGATGGCGGCGAGGAGAATCAGCATGATGACTGTGCTGCAGAGAGGAAGGCACAACTTTAACATGTAACAGGGCGAGTAAAATAAACCAAGCAGACTAGGAGGGAACAGTCAAGCGTGGCCTACAGCTAACTCATTGTGTTGTTTGGCTTTTCTTTAGTAAAGGAAGCCTTTCGTGCAAGTCCCAAGTGTGTGTGCGCGCACACATCCTCATGAACGCACGCATTCAGTGCACCAAAGCTAGGCCCAAACCTGGCACCCACTCAGGGCGTGGCTTCTTAACGTCTAATTACCCTGGTTTACGGCTCCCAGTAAAAGAATCAGAGGCGCTGATGGGCAATTGTGTTTCAAACTAAATCAGTGTATCCCTGGGAAAGCAGATACCTCTGGTATAGAGACAACTGTGGAGGAAAGTTCATGACAGGCAGATGAGTTTAGGCTTGTCTCGGGGCATGGTGATTACAGTGGAGGAACCTGCCACTCCCTAAAATAACTGTAGAGACTACACTCTGTTCTCTGCACCTTGATGCTCCACACCTGATCCCCTTAGTCTGAATCGGACTGCTCGATATCTCTCGACTTAAAAAAGAAACTTAAGCCTAACTTTAAAAACTGTTCCCCCTGACTGATTAGTCAAAAAAGATGGCCCCGCCCATGAGATATCAGTTAGTTTAGAATTTGCTAATCTAATGTATACAAGAGCTATGTTTGGCTGTAGCTAACAATAAGGCTGCTCTGGGTGTGAACAGAGAAAGAGGCACATCTGGAATGCGCTGGTTCTCTCGGCTGGTAAAGGAGTGTTCATGGGATGGGTCCTCATACACGCTTCACACGCCCGCCAGTTCCCTTACTTTCACACGCAATCACGCACGTATACAAAAAGAAAAGGGGAGGGGGGCTCGCGCACTGTGATCGCACATCCCCGCAAAGTAATTTCCCACGTTTTGCCCACTTCCAATCTAGTGACAGTGAAGGCAAATATTGGCTCTGCGGCTCAGCCTGAAGGCAGAGAACGCAAATACAGAAAGAAGGACCAAACTTTAATGAAAAAAAGCTGTGAGCAGAAAAACAACAACAATAACAACAAAGTTAAAGCTGATGCTTTCATTTAAAACACGCACACTGAGCACTTTGATCAAAGAAGACATGTTGACTGCTCCTGTGGGCTTTTCCCCCGACTAAATCTGAATCTAGTATATTTTCCATACACAAAATAGACCACATTTGTTTGGGGCAAGATCTGAGAATGTAGCAAAACCACAAGTCCTGATGCAGGAACTGAGACTGGAGCAAAACCTGGTGAGGAACAAGTTGCTTTAACGGTAGAGCAAAGAAAGGTAAACTGGCTCTACTTCACAGATGCACAGACACACACGTCTCCACACTTTAGCCTTTTTTATCATTAGATTTTCTTATCTTCCAATGAAAAAAAAAAAAACCCAAAACATTAATGCAAAACTACAAAACAAGCTTCTATTCAAACATCACTCAAGCTTGATGAAACACCTGTAGAAAAGAAGCAAAAGAAGAAGAAGAATCTTTGACTTACTGTTAGGTGGCTGTTTGTCTCTTCAAGTCTAATTCCTCCTGCTCTCAAAGACACCGACTTCAGACTGTGTCCAAATGTACAAACACAAGTTCTACTCAATCTGCCCACTATTTTACCCTGCCCTCTTTTTAAGTCCACACCCAGGACAAGCCTCTTGCTGACTTGATCACATAATCTCTGCCCCTTTTTCTTTCTGTCCCGTCTCCTCCTCCTCGACTCTTCACTCATCGTCCCACCCTCCCTCTCTCTCTATGTGTACACATACCAACGCTCAAACGGACACTTAGTTTCTCTGTGTTTGGTGTGTTTTGCCTTTGTCACTCAGCTGATGGTGGTGATTTTCTCTGGGAGGACACACGTGATGATTCACTGACATTATGTGGGAAAAGCAGCGGGGGGGGGGGGGGGGGTAAAAGCCTTGAACAGTGATTTTACGCATGTTGCCATGGCAGCAGACTGTAACCACCCAAAACACAATCACATTGTTACTAGTGTGTGTATGTTATGTACCAACAATCATAACTTAGCTGCACAGGCGCACACAAACACACATAACTGAATTTATTGTTTCTCCCTAATCACTGCCATTCGCCTTTTCCAGCTTTTGTTACAGAGGAAGAGGTTTCAGGATAAAGGAATGTTGGTGCTTGCCATCGAGGGAAAAATAGCTGGAGGCCCAAACGAGTGCAGCTCGTTGCTTAAGTGAAAAAGATGGAGCAGAAAAGGGGGAGGAGGTTCTTTGCAGAAAGTAGGGTGGCAGTGAGGTATTTCACGCCGCTCGAAGTTCATTAGTTATTACTTATTATTACTCGTCTGTTCCTGCTGATGATTGAGGTTCTCCCAATGACTCCAGTGAGTCAAAGTCATCTGCTTCTTTAGCAGATCGCACAGATTACTCACAGGAAGAACCTTACAGAGGGAATCTATTAGGCTTGTCCTCATTTTCAGTGCCATGCAGGCTGTGTGTACTGTAGGAATAGTGGACGTATGGGATCGGGGTATGTGTAAGCATCCTTCTGAGCCTTCGAATGAGCCTAGCAGCATGGCAGTTCAGTGGTTAGCGCTGGCCCTGGGTTCAACCCCAGATATAGGTCATGTGTGGAGTTTGCATGTTCTCCCCATGCTTGAAATCATGATAGGGCGAAGCAGTTCTCAAGTTTCACTGTAGTTAAATTAAAGTTTAACACTATGAAATCACAGGATTTCATAGATAATCATAATAAGTAGATTTCTTATCTCAGGTACACATCATCTCAGTTGTGACAGCCGTATCCCGACCCACCTTCTGTTTACGAGGGGAAACCGTTCTACCTGTGACTCATGCTGAAGCCACCCTTGTTTGAGTCAAAGAATAAGAATTTGAAGCTGAAGTTGAGCATGACAGGTTTCCTTTCAAAGGCTATCAGTCCATATCATCATAAACTATTTCATTACGGCCTAAAATGTGTTACACAACCCACAGCAAATCAAACATTAACAATGCAGCGTGCTGGTGTCAGAGCCTCATAACTACATCTAACAGCAGTTACACTCTACATCCTGTTTTCCCTCACAGTAATGGACACAGTAAGAGGCGAAGACCGAATTAGAAAAACTAGAATTTCCACATCATGGTTGTATGCCTCTATTAACCAATCAAGTTGAAACATGTTAGTTAGTTGTCCAAGTTGGTGGTGTGAAAATAGATGCTGTCTGCTTCACAGAGTAGGAGGATAATACTCTGTGATTTCTGACATCTACAAAAAAACCAAAAACTAATTTGACCTGGATTTGTTAAGCTCTGTTGTAACTGTTTTGCTCTGTGTGTAGTGTATGAGTGTGCAAGTTCAATGGGCAATAGAGCTAATGTGTGAATAACAAAGGCTTACACACAACAGTAGACAAAGCTACAAATATAGATGCTGCTGCAAGAAGCTGCACGTTAAGAGCAGAAGCTTCATGGAGCACTGGACGACTACGCTATACAACAGTCATGCTGTTTCCATGTGAGCCACCAAGTCTAGTGTGACTAACTCAGAAAAAGAAATATGAATTGTAGCCACAAGTTCCTCTTTTTAAAAGAGTCGCTGACATCACAGCAACGAGTGCCTTCGACTTTTTGAGTATGAAATGTCATCATATTTTAATTTTAGCTCATTTTAAATTTGTGTAAATTGTTCCCACACAGTTAGAACTTGAAATGCCACTTGCATTGTAAATCCCTATGACAGGTGAACTTACAGTAAAGCACGATGATGTCAACCGCGCGGAAGCACGAGAGGCGGAGACTAGTTCAAAGTTTGAATTCGGTTACTAGGCAACTGCAGCAAGTGTAAGGGCATATGGCGAGGTTAAAGACGAGCTGATGAGCAGCAAAATTGATAGAGTATTCTGCGCGTGATCATTTAGTCTACTGATTATATCTCTGACCATTTGGACGTTTTGATCTTTAAACGAGGTTTGCAGCAGAAGGAAGTGGAAGGTGGCACTTCCTGAAAAAAACTATAATTTGATGACAAAAATAACAACAGATGCAAGTAGGTAGGAAAGTCAAACACAATGTAGATGAAGCATCCAAAAATAATCTGTGTGTGGACTGGGAGGCTGAGATCACTTGTTTGCTTCTGCTGAGAATTAAAGTATGGCTAACAACATTTCTGAGTCAAAAGCTTGGCGGTGAGTTAGCATCGTATTAGGCTACCTCGGCCTCAGGTATGAGCCAGCAGGATAATAGCACACTTGCAGACCAGAGCAGAGGCTGCTCGAGGTCACAGCAGGGCTCACTGTGTGGCTCATAACATGAAAGCGCGCACACAAGCATGCTTCCATACAAAACACTGTTGTCTCACATTGTTCTTTAGTATGACAAGAGCAGAATCAAGACTACAGAAGCCTTCAGATGAATGAGTGGTCTTTCATTCATTCACTCACTCTTTCAACACTCTCTATTTCTGATGCCGCGCCTCGGTCACGTGACCTAACGTTCCACGTCCCGCCCTATGGGAAAGCATCCGAGTCCGTTGAAATTGCGCACTTCAGGTTTTAGAATGCAGTTGCATACATCATCCAGCAATGTACGCCAAACATCATCTGTGGGAAAGCTGGGAGATCGGTGCATGTGATCATATCAAGTCTTGTAATTTGTGCAATGTGACTTCAGATAAAAAAACTGCAATTGCTTAAAATATACAATCAGAAAAAAAAGTGATGTTGGCTGAAGAAAACAGGAGGAGAAAGGAGAAGACAAAGCTGTGAGAGGAGAATGCGGTTGGGCCTGCTCCTGTTCTGGGCGTGTCGACCCCACCTTGCAGCGAAGTTAAGCTCAGGTTTGCAATGTTCTATTCAGCGCGACAGGCCACTCCCTTCAGCCTGTTCATCCCGCCATAACATTAGAAAAGTGTTGGGAGTTTGAGGAAAAAAGCCCCAAAACAAAACAAAATGAATGCCTGGACAGGAAAACTGACTTCTTTGTTTTTTTGCCACATTAGTTATGCAAGAATCATGCCAGCACCCCCTTTTTTTTAAGTTCTCGGTGTAATTTTAGGAGAGGAAATTGCCATGAGTCATGCATCAGTCAGCTATCATTTTTTTTTCAGAGTGAAAAACTTAGCGGGTGTTTTGCACACCGCAGTTGTGCATGCAGCAGGAGGAGTGGGGAGGGGGGGGTCGGAGCGTAGCCACGGCAGATTTCTCAGATCCAAACACAAGTCGACAAATCATGTGCCTCCATAACTGTTAAAGGAGAACCAATCAGGTGGCTTGCTCAACACACAGCCCTTTGTCGTGCTGGATCACTCAAAACAGCCGTCATACTGTGTGATCGACAGTGTTGTACTAATAATGATTCCTCCCCAGCGTATGCTCATTCATGGCGGTCCAATTTCAGTTTATTGCACACCGTTGGGTTCATTAAAGAGCTGAAAAGCAGAACTCAATCTGCTCTGCAACAATCGCAGGAACACACATTACTGCAAATGAGCCACGAGACCGACCAAGACAAGGGCTTCTCAATCATGGATTACCTGTCTCACCTTGAAGCCTTGAGCTAAGCCCTGCATTTTTGATTTAGCGGCTGTTTGCGGCACTGGTATTGCTAATCATTTATCACTTTGACACATGTTAAAATGTTTGGAGACGAGCCTCAGATACAGCCCAGCCACGTGATGCGGATACGTGAACAAGGCGTACAAAAGAGCAGATCGCTACGTTTTGGTTGGGCAACGTCAAAATCCTTTAATGAAGGTGGCTGTTAGGAGCGAGGAGTGAGGGAGGATTTCGACACGACCGTGTGAAACAAAGCCATCCCAGCGGTGCCTACATGCCAACACAGTGAGCCTGACCACAGCCAAGTCGCTGGCGTATTTACACAATAGTAAAGCTCTCTGTCTGTGGTTAGCGTCTCACTCGCCTCATTCCTGTTCCATCTCACAATATGTCACACCCTGCTCTGAGATTTCTAAGCCTCTCCTATAAAAACAGTGACTGGGACTCCTTGGAAGAAGCCAGAGTGAACGAAGGGGTCCAAAAAAGTCGATGTTGAAACTCTTGATTTGCCAAGGGGCAATTGTGTAATTTCAAAAGTAGAACATCACCCTTATCTCTGCTCCCGGTGTCACCAGACTGGTTCTGATGAAAAGCCACGGAACAGGCATGTCAGCCAAGGCGTGAGCCGCTCGCTCAGTCACATGTACATAAAAGCGTTTATAAGCACAGGGATATGTGAGCAGAGCATCTTGAGAAAAGCAAATATGAACAAACTGTACTCCAAATTAATCAACTTCTAAGGGAGTTACCCGGCACAGACAGAGAAACACACCAACACACAGAGTTTCCATTCCCACCCTCCTTTTCTCTGCTGCTCTGGGGCGAGATGGTCATCAGTTTCAGTTTCCAGTAAAACTTTTTTTTTTAAAGTCTTTCTTTAGACAAAGACATTTAAGATACCGTTCATTTAGGAACCAAAATGAGCAGCAGGGTAACACCTGTGATGTAAAAAAGTGGGTTAATTCATATTATTTACGACACTACTTTTTAATCAGGTGTTCTTTTTCTCTAAGACCTGATAAATATGGACAAAAATAACCATTGTTTTACAAAACTGGCCCCAGTTTTTCAATTTTAAAATACATGTTACCATTTAAGCAAAGTTACACTATAATATGGTGTTAGTCTTAATACCGGACACACAGCTGTACACAGTGTTAGCATCTACTGACATAAACAGCTCAAAAGGTTTCAGGATTTTTAATACAAACTATTTCTTTTTTATATACAAATCATACCAAACCTTAGCTTGCTACCTTACTAGTACCAGGTTGGACCCCATTTTTGCCTTCATACCTGATTTAATTCCTCGTGGCATAGATTCGATGAAGTGCTGGAAACGTTCCTCAGAGATTTTGATCCATGTTGACATGACAGCGTCACACAGCTGCTGGACATCCATGATGTGAATCTCCTGTTAAACCACACCTGACTGTGGAGGCCATTTGACTACAGTGAACCCACCGTTACGGTGTGGTGTGTTGTCCTGTTTGGAAGCAGCCAGCAGAAGATAAGCACGGTGTGGTTATAAAGAGATGGACATGGTGGGCTGCAATAATCAGGCAGCCTGTGGTGTTTAAATGATGCACAGTTGGTCCTAAGGGGCCAGAAATGTGGCATGAAAATATCCTTCACATCGTGACATACCGCAACCAGCCTAAACCGCTGGTACAAGACAGAATGGATCCATGCTTTCATGTTGTTCACGCCAAATTCAGACCCTACTATCTGAATGCCACAGGTCAAAGGAGTGAGCCCAGTCGTCTGACCCAACACTGACATTTCTACCCGGAGGACTGCTGCTTTCTGGACATTTTCCCAGTAGATCAACAGCTCCTGATTCACTCAGACCAGCCCATTTGGCACCAGCAACCATGCCACATTCACTTAAATCACCTTCATTCTTCATTCTGATGCTTAGTTTGAACTTCTCCATGTCTACATGCAGTGACCTGCTGCCATGAGATCAGCTGATTAGCTTTTTCTATTAACAAGCAGCTGAAAAGATACACCTGAAAAATAACCTCATTTCTTTAAAAACAATCCTGAGTTCAACCTAATCTTTATTCTGAAAACATAATTTCAGATTGTTGGTGCCCGATGATGCAAATTATTTAAATTGCATATTCATTCATGCATATTTTTAACTACATTTTAAATACTACGTTATGAAGCGCACATGTTTTTAGTTTCTGATTCAAACAGTTGAATCTATTTCAAAATTTCCACATTACAAAAAAAAAAAAAATCTAATTTCAATGATTTCATCTCACTTTTAATAGTGTGGTTTTGAACGTACAGCTGTACGCACTATTAGTGGCTGATATGAACAATTTTAAATACTTTAAACTTACGTCTAATTGGTCTCATATTGGTCTGTTTTTTATTCGCCTGCTTAGTAACAAGAGATCTATTTATTCATTTACTGTTTTATTTACAACATACACTGTATATTTGAGCAAACACTGCAATACCTATTGAAGCAGGAGAAGAGAAGCTGAGAACAGAGGTAAACACTGTGTGAAGGGCCATCAAAATCAAATTAAGACATCAAAGAATCGGCTAAACGCACAGCTAAGAGAATTTATCTCTGAGCATTTGCTTGTGCCCCGCTGGCTGCCTGCCAGTGGTTTGAATAGAAAAGTGAGACAGGAGCAGCTTCGGGAGTCTATTATGAACTCGACACAGCCGAGGTTTTCTACAGTGGATGTGAGCCACTTCACTTTTGAAGGCTGCAGAACAACTTTGTGTGCGGTGAACGTTTTGTGTGTCGACTGTGGTGCCCTAGCTACCGTTTACATTTAATAAAAAAGAAGGGGAAAAAAGATAATGCCTCATATTTAGCTGAGCCAAACTGTCTCCATGGTTACTGGCTAGGGGTTTTCATTCTTGATTCACTTCCTCACCCAGGGCGCTCTTTCGTAGCCCTCCCCCTTCTTTCCCTTTGCTCTTATTACTACATTTAACTCCAGTTTGTCCCCGCGTGGTTTCTTCTTCTCTTTGGGACGATGTCTGCTCCTCCCGCTTCCTGCTCGGTGTCACCCCTGCGTTTATGCCTCCCACACAAAGCCCTGCGATCTCAATGAAAGCCAGACATGCACACTGTACTCATGCTCTGACTCTAAAGAAAACAACTCGTGCCTGTAGCTAGGCAACTCCAAATATGAGTCATCCCACTGCCGCGCCCATCAACTGATCAACACCCCCCCACCGCCACCGCCACCACACACACACACACACACACACACAGAGCTCTGGGTCCTCTTTAAGAAGCGTAGCTGTTAACATTATCTCTGCAGTCTCTTCTAAACTTCATGGTAGCTGCGGAAACACAGCACTGATGATAATGCTGTAAGGACGCAGCCCCTCTCTGGCGTCAGTTGATCTGAACCACAATCTGATGGCATGACTGATATCAGCTCCACACTCACTGCCTGTCGAATGGAGTTGGTGGCAAACTATCGCTGACCGTCTTTCTCAGTTGATCGGTTCAGTTTTTCTCTGCTGACAAAGCCATTAAACAGTCTTTTCCAAGAGCAGGTCTCTCCAAAGGGAGTTTATCAGCAAGTTATTAAAAATGAACGCAGTTTGGAAAAAAAAATGCAAAATGCAAATGAATGAAAGGAAGTGGAGTCATTGCAAGTAAAAGCAGGAGTTATGTGGGGAAATATTCTTCCAGTGTGAGTTACTTTTAGCCTCTGACTAATTTTTCTGTCAGCAGATAAAAATAAATGACTTACAAAAAAAGAGGGCAGGGGTCAAATGATCTGAATTTCAGGGATGAAATGGCATCTATCAGAAAGACAGAGCCACATGTGTAGCTGAGCAAATGCATGTCCAGATGTTTTAATTTAAAAAAAAATCAGCTACTCAACTGTATTAGAAGATGAAACATACACAGTTAGCCAGACTTACAGATTAGTAAGTCTACATGATTTCAGTGGGGTTCGTAAAATAATGCTTTTCAAATCTTCGGTGACTTTGTGCAATGCAGTGCTGCCCTCTAGTGGACAGAGACGTAAATACACATTTAAGATTCGTGACAGTCAAAACTAGGATCGCTGAAGCGACACAATGCTATTTTAATTTTGGCAATAAGACCCAGATTATTCCGAGACATCACTCACAATCATGTCTATACACAGTGTGTGACCAAATCAGTAAAAAAAACAACCCTCAAGACAAACACGAAATATCTTGTGTGTGTTCAGGAAAGTATATAAATAAGACTAACTAGTAGTATGCTAAATTGATAATATCCCACACGCTATATGACTAGACGGAAAAGGTATTAGATTAGCAGCTGGATGCTAACAGCGCCAACATAAACACTTGGGACAGTAACGGGTTAGAGCGCGTGCCTCTTTGCCAATTAAGGCTAATTAAGTGACCAGGTGCGCTGACAGGAAGTCTACAAAAACACTGCCGCCCTTCATCCCGTCCCAGTGTTTTGGTGCAAAGACAAAAACGCGTATTGGCAATGCATTTCAAACATAAAGGATACTTCGGTGTTGTGCTTATTTACACCATCACAACAATCGCTTTGCCTCTAGTAAGCCGGTGTGAGCCTACTGCATCCTCCTTCCAATCGAATTCTCCTCCTGATGACAGCAAAGGTCATTTAACTACGGAAAGCAGCAGCAGTCATTCCTCCGGCCCTGACGTCGGAGAGCGGCTGGACCTCGGCTCAAGGCGCGCAGAAGACCTCCTAAACTCTGACGACCTCCACAGCAGGAAAGAGAAACCCAGCAGCAGCCCCGAAGAAAAGCCCGAGAAGAGACTAAGACCCAAAATGGCGTCTTCTTCGGGTCCTACAGGTGTCAGTGACCGTCACAACCCCAGGCAAGCCGAGGACGAGCCGGTTTATTCATATGGAGACTGCAGAGAGGGGAAAATTAAGCACGTAGTTTACGGCAAGTTTGTCATCGCTGGCCAGCTGGAGCCAAACGTCCCAAATCTCGACTACCAATCAGAGTCCTCTGCTTCAGGTAAGCCACTGTCCTGAACTCACCTGACCCCAGGCTCCTCCTCACTGTGCTTGCGTTTTACTTTGCTACTTTAATACTCCCCTAACGAAACCAGTTTGATAATTTTAGTCATTTTTATAAAGTAGTTGGTACATTTTAATCCCTCATGATGATTAGAAACTATTCTACCACTAAAACGAATCTTTTCACTATAAGAGGCATTTTGTGTCCAGTTTTCTTATCCATTAGTTTGCTACATGAAACTCCCAATTTCCCCCTCTTTCACTCACGCACACACACTTTACATTCTGTATAATCCTCACACTAACACCATATTCTCAGAGGTGGTTTGTTTTTGTTTACCAGTCCGGTCTCTGGGAAGCCAGACAAGGCTCAGGGGTCACCGGGTCAGCAGCACAGTGGAGAGCTGGCAGAGGCTGCTCCCTGTGGTGGAGTGTGAGGAGGACGGCATGACCCTCACTGTCAGGAGGAGACGAGCTGCACAGCTCTTGCTGGACCGAGGTGATGCTACACCTTTTGCATGTCTATGCGCTCCAGTAGCCTGGATTTTATACTTGCACTATATTGCAGTGTTTCTTTTTTTTTTTTCTTTTTTTTAAGGTTTCTCTTGGGAAACCCAAACAGTTTCTTAATATTAGTAAAATTAAGATTTTGTGTCGTCTATTTGTGTCCCAGCGAATGAATCATCGGTGCCTCTGTCCCAGCTACCACCACAGTGTGGTTATACTCTTCAGACCACATGGAGAGACCTCCGTTTGATGGTTCCATATTACGCTTGTCATGTCATTCAAAAGGTGCGTGTGTCTGTGTGCTACACTTAGATTTTAATTTTTTACGTTTCTTAAAAAAATAATTGAAACAGTTTTTGTAATTTTGCCTTCAGACGCCACCACAGTAAATTAAGTTACACGATCTAGATGTGACGTCTGTGTTGTGCACTGTGAGCTGTCCAATCAGTTTAGCAGTATAACTCAAAAATTACACAGAAAGTGATTTAAACAGAGTACATATTCTGTTATTAAAATATGTGGAATTTAAATGATCGTTTACATTTTCTTTATGCAACTCTATAACTTTACTTTCACGCATCTAAGCAAAATACCTCCAGTTTTGGAATGTTGATAGGAAAATCAGAATAAGTACGACTAACAAACGTACTAAGCAGACATTCACTTAAATACAACATCTGTTTCTCATGAAAATCCATATCTTTATAACTCCTTTTTGAACTTCTTTGTTCTGGCATTGCTTCAACTCTGCATTCAAACTCTTCCACAGTTTTGCTGCATGCACAGTGGTACACGCATTCAGATTTGAAAAAAAACAAAAACATTAAATTAATATTTGCTCTTCTCAAAAGAAGCTGTAAATGTTTCCTGGTAGTTGGATTTTTTTTTTCTTTTTTTTTCTGTCTGAACAAAATTTGTGCCACATTATCTCCACCGTGTTTGACAGATGATGTGGCGTGCTTCAGATCACAAGCCATTTTTCCTCTTCCCATCATTCTGGTACGAGTTCTTGGTTTGATGGGTCTAAAGGTTGTTTTTTGCATAACTGTGCAGGCTCTTTAGATGTCTTTTGACAAAGCCTAATGTGGCCATGTTGTGTTTGTATTACTAGGTTTTGTCTTGTCATAAACTCTTTTCTCTTTGTTTTAGACTTTGACAATGACCCGTCTGCTTCCTCCAGAGTGTTCTTGAGTTGCTTAGATGTTGTGCAGTTGGTTTTCTTAACCATGGAAATAAATCTGTCATCATGCACTTTAGTTGTCTTCTGTGGTCTTCCAGGCCCGTTGTTGCAGCTGAGCCAGTCAATGCAGTCATTCTTTTTAACACTGCACCAGATTATTGATTTTTCCACTTGTAAAGTTTCTGCTGTCCCCAAGTCTAAGCAGTTTATGTGGAACCTCTGAAAAATGTTGGACTGTGTATAAAAATGACTGTTATTCCTAAGGAGTTAATGCAATTTTTTAGTAAAGTTTACACTTCAATCACATGTTTTTTTTCCCCTTCATTTTCCCCTTTTAAAGCCAGAGAGGCAAAACAGCCAAAACTACAAAAAATAATGTAGTGTGTTTGTTTATGGCTGCATTGATACAGTTTTAAGTGTCAAATTATATGAAAAATGTCCAAAACTGGGCTAATTGTTGTTATTTAGAAAAAAACCTGAGTTTTTTGTAAAACCTTCCTCCTTTTGACTGATCAGATGAGTTGTACATTCACGTTAAATAATCTTTGAATCTGGCAAATGTTTCTCTTTTAAAATCCTGAGCATGTATGGTCTAAGGTGGGGTGTTTTTAGCTAAGGGTGGTATAAATGCTCTCTGCTTTTATTCAGGATGGCAGTTATGTGCTGCCCCTGCTATGGAGGGGAACCCCGGTCAAGATATCCTGTCCAGTCTCTCAGATCAGCCCTCACACTGTGGGGCTATCCTCCCTCTGCTGCTCTTCACATGGGATGACTGTCAAAGTACATGAATCGACTCCTTTGGAGAAGCAGAGAGTAAATGGTAGGCTCCCCTTTCTTTCTATTGGCATCAAACTTAATTTAGATAATAGTTTAGCCTTTTGCCCTCATATGTTGAATAAAATATGAACTTTTATTTCTCTTCTGTCTGCAGTGAGAGGAGATTGGACCCCTCTAGCTCTGTTGGCTGAGCAGTGTGGCTACACTTTGGCTAAGCAAGATGCAGATACTGTAATTGCTGCTCCGTTTATTACATGTGGCATCACAGAAAAGGTGAACTTCAGAGCATACTGTACACAAGACAGACTAGACAAGACTCTTTAGCCCATCTGGTTCTCCAGCATAATCATCGTATCTGATGATTACTACATGTGCATATTGTCATTTCCTGTGGTCTTTAAATGTTGTTTTGTTTTGTTTTTCCTCCTCCAGGATGGAGAATATATACTTCCTCTCCAGATAGGCAAGGAAATCTTCACACTTGCCTGCCCTATGTCTTCTCCTGAAGAGCTCTCCGTTAACACTCAGCCTCTGGTCAACAACCCAGCTCATCTAACCAGGGGGGCAGAAGAACCTATGTTAGGGGCTCAGGAGCCTTTTCCATGGGCCCCTCCTTTCTACCTGGCTCCACCGTACTATCCTCACCCTACATATCACCATAATTATGCCAGTCCTAAAGTACATGCTTCATATGATTCTCCTACTCCAGCATCTTTGACTCCTGAGCCGACTTCTAGCTCTCAGCTTCACCCTCCTGTTGATTTCCAGCCAGATTATCAACCCTACTACGTCTACCAGATGCCTTTCTGGGAGCCGTATGACAGTCCTCCGTCACTCGTTGAAGAAATGGAAGATTTACGTCGGGAGAACCCAGAAAGAAGAAAAAATCAAGAAACTCCTTTTTTGGCGTTCTCTGAGAAGCACAGTGTCACACCTACAGGCTTTCCAGCTCAGCTCGAAGCGCCGCATTTCCAGCCTCTGAGACACGATTTCAATCCATACTACCACTACTACCATCACCCCAAAATCCCCCTTTCTGGCAAACCTCAAAACCCTGATTCAGGTCTGGATGTTTCTCACGAAATCTCTTCAGCTCACTTGCGTAAACATGAATTTTCAGCTTTGGCTCCCAATGTTGAACAGTCTAAGAGCATCAGGAAAGTCACCTCGGACCAGTTCCCTCCACCTGTGTCAGAGACTACCTTTTATCCCTACGCCCAACCGGAAAATGCTAAATTGGTTGACAAAACCCTTGAAACTCATGCTCCTCACCTTCTAAACCCATATCTTTACTACTATTACTTTCCACATATTTCAAGGGGTGAGGCTGTAAGACTGGTTCCATCACATCCCGACATGCCTGGAGAAACAAACTTGTCGAATTCCTCACCACTTCCTCCTTCACAAATTCTTCCAGTAAATGAGCACAACATGAATGCCTACATAAAAGCACACAAGAACTTTGAAAAATATAGCACAGAGCAGATCAAACATCCTAATTTGTCTGCTAAAGTTCATTTAGAGCACAATGATGCAAGTCGCTCTGCATCTGTGTCTCCTGCAGTGCTGCCTCCAGTCCCACAAGGTCCCCATCATAAACTTGAGCCTCAACAACGCCCTCCTCACACTCAATCATTCATCAATCAACTGAATCCTTACCAGTACTACTACCACCCTTATTATCATTACTCTCAGATGTATTACAGACCTGGAAACCAAGTTTCTCCAGCTTCACCCAATCTTCTTCAAGCACCTTCTGCTCCAGCTCAACATCTGACTCCACCTGCACAATCAGTGTATGGTTTTCATAACTGGATGCATAGTCCTTTCTATTATCTATACTACCCATCTAAAGTGCCCGAAGGCAACGAGCTCCATCCTACAGGCAGCATAAACTCTGAAAACAAATCTGCTAAATCTCAGCTTCACTCAAACTTTGACTATGGCATGATGGCAGGATATTTTAACATCCCTCCGCCACTGCACAATCCTTTCCATAGTTTATATTCACATTATATTACTCAGCAGCACCATAATGAGCAATCTGAGAAACCTGATGAAGATGTGAAAGAGAATCTAGACAAAGTGAGAGGTAAATGATCACATTTAAGGGTTTATCAATCTTGAATGCCTTGCAGTTTAAATGTTTGGTCTTACAGTTTTAGTTTGACTGCACTGAAATGTTGTGCTTAAACAGAAAAGCAGTGTTTTGACTTCAGATCACCACCACAAGGGGGCAGGAAACCCTCGGCCTAATGTTGTGGCTGTAATTACACACCTGTATTGCATATTTTCCATCTCATGCTGCTGAGTCATCCATAACAAGTTCTCCTTGTTTTGTTTGCTTTCCTCTCAGATTACCTCGAGGCCCACACGTACACGCCCTCCGCCTCACCCTGCGGCCTTGGATCTGTGTCAGATACTGATTGCAGTAACTCTTTAGGCTGCTGTTCAAACACTGTGAAGGGTAAGTCTCACACAATACAAAGCTTGTAAACACTTGTCTAAAAGGATGACGACTGTAAAGGGGGAAAGCAAATGACTAATGCAACGACTCTCAGGCTTGAAGCCTTAAATAAGTATTTGATCCCCAAGCAAAACATGGCTTGGTGGTGAGATCCTTGTTTGCAAGCACAGCGGCACAATGTTTCTTGTAGTTAGCAGGGGATCCAATAATTATTTCCCACTCTGCATGTGTGTCGGCAGGCTGTACAGTGGGACAGTACTGCGTCTTTGCGGTGCCTGACTCTGTAGTACAGCCCACAGTTGCTCCTCCAGCTCATTCCCCTGAGGACATTAATGCTTCCTGCACGCTGCAGAGGTTGACCCCTGATCTTGACATCTACATTGTACCTCTGGATGGCTGCGGAGTAAACAAACATGTAAGGCACATTCCTATGTTATCACATCATGTAGACCCCCCAAAAAGAAGGAAAAATGGACAAACACACGCCACTGTTGCAGAATAAATTAAAACTTTTTAAAAATATATGTTTGATAGATGCTTGGCGAGACGGTGGTTCATCTTTTGGAAGTTCGAGGTTTACTTCCTTACCAAAACGGCGATTCTGCACATGAGAGTTCTCCTTTAAGGTATGTCACTGCTGTTTACAGGAAACTTGCTTTTGTAACAATTGCCAGCAGCCTTGTAGTACTTAGCTTTAACCATTCAGCTGTAGCAGGAAAGATTGTTTTCTCTTAAATATTCGCCGTTTCTGCAAAATCCTTCTGTGGTTTATACTCCCGTTTGTCTGAAGGTTGTCAGACTTCTGATTTGACCTCAACATGACCCTGCTTGTGTGCTTGGACAAGGATACAATATTTAAACTGTTTGAATAGTAACTTGAAATACCCTGATAATGCTATACTGGATTCTATCTGGACTTTGACTTTCATGAGCTACAATTATTGAAATGAATCAAGTTTTGAGACACTGAATTTTATGTGTAATCCTCCTTGTACGAAAGTTTACCTTTTTTGTTTGGGAAATATTTTTTACTTTTTGGTGATTTCTAACGGGAAGTGAGGAAAAGCAAAGTCATTGTTCTGTGGTTTGTCAACAGTTTGAGCAAATGTGCTCAATCTTTCTCAACCAGTGTTTTGTGGGGAAATTTAAAAAAAAAAAAAAAGTACTTGCTATTTGTCCACAGGTGTCCAACATGGAGGCAAAGTGTTTTCAGCTTTAATCCATGTCCACCATTTTTGATGCCATGACAATCGTCCAATCTTTAAACTGTTCACTTTCAGCTGACAGATGGAGGGTGCTGATTCCAACACATTGATATTTTTTTTTAACTATATTTCCTTTAATGACAAATTGCAACATGAAAGAGAAGTACCTCGTTTTATATCATTTTTCATCCCTATTTAAAACTCTCAGCTGTCGATGGGTTCAATAGGAAGTGAAAGATGAAAATGACTTGGTCTCAGCTGCTCAGAAAAGATGCCTCCCCCAGCTGTTATGACACTCATCAAAATCTCATAAATATTAGATCTTCACAACTGAATTATGTGCCTGGCCCACTGCAGTGGCCATTCTGTATTTTCTCTGTGGTGGTAAATGTTTTCTACGTCTTCTGTATTTACATAGTCACTTGCTTCTTGTGTGGCGCACAGTTTGACACCAAACCAGCTGCCTTTAGGTAAATAAGATACCAGAATCTTGTAAAAGGCTTTCTAATCTCACAAGTGCGCCATCAAGGCTTCATCCTCAGCTTGTTCTTGTTTCCATTATGTTCTTTCATTTTGTTTTTGTTCTTTAAGCAGTGCTTTGATCAACAGCTGCTTTTCAATTGTGTATTGTTTCAAAAAAATTTGTGTGTGTGTGTGTGTGTCCGTCTCCTTCCCTCCACAGGTTTATGGTGGGATGTAGTTCCTCAGCAGATTCTCCAGGTGAAGTGAAGTTTCATGTGATGGATGAACAGCCTCCTCTTCCTCTCACACAGCCAACACCAGCTGCTGTCACTGTGCAACTGAGAATTGCCAAAGGTAATTTTTCTTTAACATCTGTGTTCTGTTCAAGGACCAGATCATAGCGTGGAGCCAGTAAGCAGAGTATTCTTAAACACTTTATTAAAGCGTTTTTCTTTTTCCCTGCAGATGAGTCTTTCACCAGCTACCACCCTGAGGCTCACCTCCCTCTCAGCCTCTTGCAGGGCAGAACAGTTTATGTGGAGGTTAGCCTGAAGGACCCCTCAGAGTCCACACTTGTGCTGCTGGTTCACTCCTGCCTGGCTTACACTGATGCTCCATATCCCAGTGGGATTCTTGTTTATGATGGGTATGTTTATACAAGGAGGAAAATGATGTCCTCACAGATGGTGGTGTTGTTGTTGTTGTTCATATTGCTGGCTGCCCCAGTGACCATTTAACATGATCAGTGGTTTAGTGTGCTCGGGGATATGGACACACTGCATGAAACTGTAGTTGTATTAGTAAGTACTAATTTTCTAGTTAATTGCAAAACAGTTTCTCTGTGGTTGTTCATGTTAAAGGACACGAGTTTAACAGTATAAACGGCCATTTTAATTGTAAATTTGATAGCTGTGCCAGCAATTTAAGAAATGCCATTGACTTTGCAAAGCTTGCTAATCAATTAGTGCACTAATAGATGCCAGTCATGCCTCTGCAAGTAGATGAGTATGAGGTTAAAACCTGTTCCTGAAAGCTGCGTGAAACCCGCAAAATATGCAAAGAAAAAACAAAACAAAAATCTTAACCATCTTGGAGGAAATGATTGGTGGATTTTTACTAAAGCCTCGTGTCACAAATTCCACTTTCCACAATTCAAACTCAGTCAGGTGGGGATTACCTAGTAACACAGTGTGTGGATGTTTGTACTGCTTTGATTTTAAAGCCGTCATGATCTTTTTTTTTTTTTTTTTTTTAATGAAGATTTGCGTTGTCTTGCCAAAATTACTGCTGACACTGTGTGAAGGCAACCTTGCAGCCACAAAGCTCCAACATTAAAGAATGGGGCTTCTTTAATGCCAGTTGTTGGTCAGTCTTTGGTTGTAAAGGCATGTCACTGTTATGTCGTTTAGCTGCAGCAGCCTGGGGGTTTTGCAGATGCTTCCGACCTCGGACTTGCAGGTCCAGAAGATCGCAATTTACAGCTTCCTCTCTCTTCCACCACACATGACTAAAGGGGGCTCCCTCCGAGAAGACCCAGAGGTATTTCCCACCTAAGATGCACACAAGTAAACAGCTGTTTGTGTATAAGTTACATTCATGTTCAGGCCCAGTGCAGATAAGTGAACTCGGGTAGTAATGCTATTGTTTTTGGTTTTTCTTTCCCTTCTCACTCAGATCCACTTCTTGTGCCTGACAGAATTGTGCTCTGATGACTGCACCCTAAGATGCCTCGAAGGTAAGACCATAAAGAGAAATGAAACACTGGGCAGCTTGTTCATTTAAAAGTATAAAAATACTTGTTCCAATTTTGAAAAGTTTTGATTCCTGACTGAAAATTGTTTTAATTTAAACACTCGTTAATAAAATCTGATATCTGCAGACTTTTAGATAAACAAGGTTTTCTAACTTTTCATTCTATACGACGCCCAAGTAGACTGGCGATGAAGCAATAAGGATTCAGTGGTTGAAAATCTGCTAACAAATGTGCAGGAAAACCTCAGAACATGATGACGCAAGTTGACATTTATGTTGTGTAATGTGGTAATAGACAAAAACAGAGGGGCCAGGTGAGACTTAGCTCATCGCATCTAAATAAACGCCTTCTTTGGAAAGAATGATGAACTTGAAGCAAAGAACGAGCTCTAAAGAATCACTTGTTCAGTGTGGTGAAGGCCGTGTTGTAGCATGACTGTGTATATGTGGCGCTACAGGAACTCAGATTCAGTCTAATGCTCAACCTGAACGGCACTTCTTAAACTACAAAGGCCAAGGCACCGCTGGGTACTGATGGGCGATAACTAAACACGTGAACCCGGTAAATAAAAGAATGTGCCTAAACGGGGGAAGTTGGTCTCAACACTTTTCACTACCTGAGGCAGAAAGTTTCAAAAACAAGCAGGACCTGAAAGCATCTGAAGCCAAATGTAAAAATTAAGGTTTTTTGGGTTTTTTGTTTTTGTTTTTTGTCAGTTTCCTTGAGCTTCAGCAGTCGTTGACGCCAGAGGGTTTACAGCCGATTACTGATGTTGCCTAAGTTTGTGTATCAAATCATTTTTCACTCTGTGAAAACATAACAAAGTGGGGGGGAAACTGCAGAAATCTGTCATTTTAAATGTAATATTTTTCTCAAACCCTTAGTTAATATCCAAAAAAACTAAAAGGATGGGAAATGCTTTCAGATTCTAGTCTGCTGAAATCACAATGATGCAGACTTGCACATTATGTACTTCCTGTTCTAACACATTGCAAAGGTTTCTGTTTGATCCGTGAGGGGTTTGTGACCTTGCTGCCACTGTTGTTGCAAACCACATGCAGTAACAAGACCCAGATGGGTCATTGCGCTGGTTGTTATTTGGTGGTTAAACGAGCCAAGAGGGTGGCATGATTTCCTGCTACGCTGTCATTCTGCGATAAACTTCCTCAAAGTTGTAAAGCATGGTGTGATGAGTAATGTAGCTACATCAATTATCCTTGGAGCTCATATTACTGGAGTTTCCATTCACAGAAACCACCTGGTCAGGTTTCACACAGCTACCCAGTGTTCCTAATAAAGTGCTCAGTGTTTCTCATTTATTACGTGAAATGACTACATTAACTTTTTTTTTTTTCTCCACAGGTCCAAACACTGGTGTGTAAGCAACGAAATAAAGAGTATTACACAAGTGCAACTTGATTTTTGTCGCTTAATGGAAACGAGTGTCTCTGGAGGTTTTGCTTCTATAACTAAATAGTACAAATAAGTAGTACAGGGCAAGAAAACAAGTGACAGACAACTGGAGGCATTTAGCCTTTGAAATGTATTTATTTATTTTTTTTATCAGCAAGACGGTTAACATTGTGTCATTTAAAAAAAATAAATAAATAAATTTAAAAAAAAAGTTAACAAGCAAAACACAAAGGAATGAAACGTGAGCTTATTTTTTTCCCTTTTCTCAGGATGAAAGCTTTTACAGAAACAAGTCTTCTGAAGCATTGAGTCTGGAATGTTTAAACAGTTTGACCTAAAACTGAACCTCTCTCGGGTACCTGGCTGTCTTTTTTGCTGTTCTTGTTTTTTGACCTGCTCTTTGGCCCTCTGCAACCTCTACCAGAAATCTAAAAATCTTAACAATACTCTAGTATACAGCCACTAAAGGTAATGTGAAATTGAAGCTCACATTAGAGCGATGACACCCAACATGCTACACCTTGCTGTAATTGGACCTCTACTATAACAAAGATGATCATTCAACATCTGTACTGCATAAGTGTGACCATAAATGTCCTTGCATCTGTCAATCTCAAGCCATTTTATTTTAACCAGATGCATCTTTCTGCACCTTCAGTGTCTGTATGCTCATGGCCACGTTGTTTCTCTTCCCCCTTTAACGTGGCCCTAATACTCATTCATAAATAAACAGTGTAACTTTTCAGGAGAAAAAATGTTTAAAAAAAAAAAAAAAAAAATTCATGTTTTACCAGCTGAATTTGTTAATGTGTTCTCATGGCTGGGTTTGTCCACAATAATCTAGAGGCCAGTGAGGTTAGTGCACAACATGTTACAGGATTTATTAAGCTAAATGTCTTTAAAAAAAAGCCTTTTAATCAAAATATGGTTCTGAAGTAATGTAATCATAGCTAAAGGAAAATATGTAAACACTGATGTGCTGCTTGTATGTAAAGCAGTGGCCTTTGACAGGAGGTGGTTAAGGGTGTAAAACCCTAATCCGCCTCTTAGTACACATTTGAATAGTACACTGTCCTCTCCCGATGGGCATTCTTGAGCTGGTTCAGGAGAACTATGGCGCAGATCATGGCAGTCATCTGTTGTGCAGACAAAGGAGGAGGGCAAGTAAAGAGCAGGGATGGGATAAAGAGCTATGCAATGACCAACCCACTACATCATCCCGAGAATTGAACCAGCAACAGGTGAAAGAGTGTGAAGGAGGCTAGAACTTCCAGCCACAGCAATCAGCACGCAGCTACAGAAATGTTTGAGAAAGTGTGAGGTCGAAACAAACAGGACAAATCCAACCGTATTGATGTACTGGCCGTGTGTGTTTAAAGGCACTAAAGTAAAGATTGAAGAGTTGACTAGTGGTGGAGGGAATATTCAGAGCGCCAGAGGGTTTCTTATACCGTTTTGCCAGCAAATGTCAATCCTTCTGCAGATGAAGCAACTTTGGTGATTTTAAAAATGTGAAAACTCATTTGCTAAATGCTGTGATCTGCTGTCAAACCTGTCAACTGTAAGCTAAGTCGTGTGTGTGTTAGGTTGGATTTCTCCTATAACTGCTAATGATAAAAATTTGAGACAATGCTGAGAGCAGCAGATGGAGTATGTGTAATTCACACTAAAGCAATGTGGAGTAAAATCAAAATGGCGAGAAAAGCGCAGTGAGAATGAAGAGTGCACTAAGCATAAGCCACAGGGATGTTGGCTGCGCTGAGAGGAGTGAAAAAGACAGGCTCCTGGTCAGCATGTGTGCTGGTGACTACTTCATGCTGAACTGGCTGAAAGTTAGCCTGAGTAGAAGTGGTCTGAGTCAGGATAATGTACTGAGGTGTTGAGGCAGAAACAATCTTTCTGCTGAGGGTAATGCTGCAAATCAGAGCAATGAACTTTGGAATGATTGGGGAAATAAAATGAGAAGAAAAAGTTCGAAAAGGGAGGGGAAAGAAGTATTTAAGAGAGAGAGGAGTGCAAAGTGATTAATGTATGGCCATTGACATGAACAACAATATAGAACCTTTAGTACTGTGTATAAGCTAATAGTAACAGGAACAACACTATCTTCCCTACTATTTGTAGCATTTGCCAACTCATTTGAAGCTTTACTTGTTGCAAAGTAAACACGCATTATTTGCCTACCAGGAGCACTCCAGTTCCAACGAAGATGCCCATCATCATTGGTGCTTTACCGATAAAGACATCTGCAATGACGCCAGAACAGCTCTGCAGGAAGACCGAACAAACTGAGCATCTAGTACAGTACAGCTGAGTGAAAGAGGTAAAGCAGTGCAGTTCGCAGTGGTGGCAGGACCACTGTAAACTGCTTCATTTATTGGCACCAACTTACATCCATCTTGATGTATTCAAAAAACCCATCTGGTTTGGGGCAGGTCTGCTTAACGAGCTCTATTATGGAGATGCCAGTCACTCCACAGCAGTGAAGCTGCAAAGCAGGCAGATGAAGGAAGAGGTGAAGGGAGGCAAAAAACAAGTCTTAAACACTACCCTGCGCAGCCCTGTGGAGAAACTAAACACCCTTACTGCTTCCACAGTTATTGATGGAAACGACTGACAATGACGTCTTCTCGGTGTGTATCAGCCATATAACTTGTATGCATAAAGCAGAAAAGACTTGAGTATACAGGAAGTAAGAGTTAAAATTTAGTATTAGGTAAAAATGAAAAACAGCAGCTTATATACGTACAGTGTTGTGGATGAAGGTGAGTGTGACAGCAATTCCTGGGTCTTGATTGGCCACATAGAGAGTATACAAGCTAGCATAGAACTCGGCAAACTTGAGTCCAACCTTTAACATGAGAGATCAAAATACAATCTTATGGTCAGGACATACTGGACACATAATTGATTTTCATCCCTTTTATCAGTATTTTCTCTCACCTCATGGCTTTTAATGTTGGCAAGCACTCCAACAACAACTACCAGTGTAGCCAGCATGGCCAGAAGGGCGGAGAACTGAAGGGACAGGAAGAACTCTGTTAACTTTAACACTTTTAAACACACAGGAACAGGAAGTGAAACAGCTTTTCCAGTTTTATGTGGGTGCATCAAGAGAAGACGAGGCTTAACATTGCAGTAAACTCTAACAAGGACCTCCCAAAAGTAACTACAGCTTTCAGCAAGATGTGAAGAAACAAATTCTGCAACTTTATGTGCAAAACATCTGCATGTTGTGTTGAAGAGAAATCAACTTAAGTTGAGCTCGAGCTGTGCTGTACTTTTGATGTAATACCAATCTAAACCAAAAGATGGAGCAGTGAGTCAGTGTGGTCTTTTGGGTGGTTAAAAGAAATAAACGACCAGATTCTTTTCTTTTATGCAGCTGGCCAAACTTTCTTATCCATATGTTGGCCTTCTGTCTTTAAAAGAAAGCAATTAGCTAGCTTTCTTGAAGTTCCTAACTTCGGTCATTGAGGCTAACAATTATAAACCTCTTTTAATATTCAAAGTCATGATATTCTAGTGCATGATCCATGGATGGAATTGCACAATTCAATGCAGTTGCGTGAAGACCTTGTCTGCTTGGTGGGGTTGGGACAGTTTTGCATTGCAAATCTCTAAACTTGTAGCCGTGCAGCTCCTGCAGACCAGAGACACACGCCAACCTTTCTGCACTCTATTTCTACACTGTGTTTAGACTCAGATAGGATAAAATATTTGCACTGATGCTAAAAACCTTAGTAGGCTTACTGATCTGGCAGCAATAAGGGGAATCAATAGGGAACCAACTATATAAACAGAACCAATAATGGCAGTAGCATCAATAAAAACAAAGCTTTTTTTTTTTACCACAATGCCACGCTCGGCTTTTGTTTGACTTTAAACAAAGTCGGCTTTTAACACTTAGTATGCCACATGATGTTAACCTGCCTTGTATCTCATATCATCTTAGACTATTTGACTGATGGGGGGAGCAGAAGCTCTGTAAATAGCCGTCCGTCCTTCCTTGCTGTTTCATTGTGTCATCGATGAAAGGAGAAGACTGAGTACTCGGAGAGCAGCTTATTAATTACTTTCCTCTGGCACTCTGACTTGTCTCTGTGGTTCCACAGAAATTATGTTGTAACAACTTGTTGAACTTGATGTACACGTTAGAATCAAGGATCTGATCTGAATAACGACTTTACACAGATTTTACCATTTGCACCAGCATGTAGGTGATGCATGTGCTCTAACATTTAAGCACCATTTCCAGCATTCACCTTAACCTCTGATGCTGGCACTGGGGTGGTTTTAAAACGTTTCACCGTCTTCCTGTTAAACACAGATAAAAGCCTGAACAGTAACGTTAAAATTTGCCATAAAGTTAATGAACAAAGGAGTCCTCCAGGAAGCAGCGGGGTATTTAAGCTTGTTCTGAACATGTCTTTGCAGGGCACTTTTTGGGTTTTTTTTTTAATGACTCCTAAGAAACGAGACCAAATGGGATTACTAGAGGTATACCAAACGTTACTAACACATTTTTGTTTTGGTTTCTCTGACTAAACCTAAAAAGCAACCTAAAACTTTCCCATAACAGTTAAAAGGTGTAACCACTGTGCGACACAGGGTTTTGTGGTCACAGCACAGGAAACAGCTGGTCTGACACCCATCTTTACGGAAAAGTGAGACTGTAAGCCAACATGCATTACCCATCAAAACAACTCACCACTTGCAGAGCGCATCTCTTCTCGTTGCAGGCACCGTAGTCTCCAAACATCACCACAAACAGCATCACTGCCCCGAGAGCGATCAGCACAGTCACACCTGTTAACAAAACGGAGCGGGAAAGAGGGCCGTTTCTGCCTGTTAAATATGCATCGGAGCAAAATGTACCATCGTGATTCTTCGACCTAATAAATGCACCGACCCATAACAAATGCGCTGGAGCTTAATTCCTCCACATGGAAGATCGCTCTTGTGTTGTCGCTGAACCTCAACCACAAGCCAAGTCCAAGGAAGGCAAACCCCACCACCTGTCACATGAGGAAATAAAACCAGGACAAAAGTGTAATGAACAACATTCTTGGTTACTTTCACACCCTCTGGTTACTGAAATATAGGTTTTTAGGGTCTATATTTATAAACCATGCTGTGTGACAGATGAGTGTTTTTCACACTGTGCAGAACAGCTGGCAGAGGGGACAAACAACCAAGAAATTGGCATTTCAGGCATTTAAGACAGCTTTCTTCTGATTGGCTGTCCCTCGCAAGCATAACATTTACACGGGATGTGGGCGGGACTGATGCTGTGATGTCATACAGAACCAAGAAGAACAGTTAAAATAGAAAAGTTAAACCATTTAGTATTATAGTATAAAGTATTATTTAGTATTTTATCCAATACCATAAAGTTCTCTCACTTTGTTTTTTTGATTGTCAAGCATACCAACACTGGCACTGAAACCTGCTACAAATGTTGCAATAAGACAGAGTTTATAGAATTAAAGAAGTTGAAAATGTCGCAGTGATACCATGTCGTATCAGTCTTTTTGTCCGGCACTCAAAAGATTTTATTTTTAAATATTTACATTTATTACAGATAATTTACATATCGTGTTTCATAGAAACATGTTTCAGGTCTTGTTTGGTCACAGAACGATGTGATGGCTAAATGAGGCTGACAGGATTTTACTCACAACTCTGGAAGTGGTGTCAGGAGACGAGGTGGAGGAGGGTCAGAAAGAAACAGGTGAAAGCTGAGATTGAGGACATACCAGCTTTTGAGGAGCCTTAGTGGGGACTACTATTATGGACTTTGAAGTATAGTGTAAGCTAAGACTCTGACGTGGTGGCATTTGGTTTCTCAGTTGCTGCACAAAACACCGAGGTGTGAAGGGTAATCATCTATCCGCGGCAGCATTGTTCATGCTGTTTAGGAAAGTTTTCACTTCTTCTTTTCAGACGGCTTTATTCTTCTTCCACTCATCGGAGATACTGCCTTATTTTAAAGAGTCTGTACAATTTAACCTCACATTTCTGAAATCCCACTAAATAGCTAAGAACAAAAATGAATTGGTGGGTCTTAATTTGATCCCATCCCATACAACTCCTATTTTGTTATTTTTGTGACTATTAATACACACACACACACACACACACACACACACACACACACACACACACACACACACACACACACATATATATTTCAAAAATAAAATACTGTTGGGTTCCTATCAGCTTATAGATGTGCCAAGCCCACAGTTTACACTGATGGTAAAGGTGATTCCTGAAAATGAAAGTAACCTCTCTTGGTATCCTAAGAAACGAAACCACAAGGAAACCTGGTGTTGTTCCAAAAAGTGATGTGTGCAAAACAGTCTACGTTTCTACGTGGGTTGTTTTTTTTATTTTGTGTAATGTCTTTGCTTATATCGGTAAACTAACTGTAGCCAATGTGATTTATGGGATTATAAATAAAATAAATGACCTGTTTTGTAAGTATCTGTAAGACTCTTTTAGCCTCTGTAGAAACTATCTACACCCTCACTTATCTTAACTGCACTACTGTATAGCTCTGTGTAAATAATCATTCTGTACATTCGATAATCTTTAATCCTACAACTGTTTACAACTTGCATAGTTCCCATTTCTGTATAGCTGTACATCTCAGATTCTGTAAAGCTATTTATTTCATATTCTGTATAGTTTTTCATATTTATATCCTGTTCATATCCTGTACATAGCTTGTACTCACTACAGCCTGTACATACTTATAGTTATAGAATATTCACAACATACTTCATACCGTGTACATTATAACATACCATAATAGACCCATTTCTGTAATATACTTACATATCTATATTATTGCTAATATATATTGTAATATATCTATATCACTAAAGCACTTCTTGATGGATGCAAACTGCATTTCGTTGCCCTGTACCTGTACATGTGCAATGACAATAAAGTTGAATTCTATTCTATTCTATTATTGTACCCACATTGTAACCATTCCAGTCCAGACCACCTGTAATATCTTTGGAGAACTATTGTTATTTTTATTGCAACTTGAAATATGTTTTACAGATTAGAGTCCAACAGTTCATTAATAGAAGTTCAAATTGTTTGGCAAATACCAGAAACCATTTTTTGGCACAACACCCCTGTTTCATCGCAAAATTACAACTTTTAATCCTTCATGTAAAAAAAACAAACGCCTTTTTCAGCCCGTTTATCTCAAGAATTGATCACAAAACAGGCGAAAGAAAACGAAAGCCATGCTTGGCCTTTCCCTCTACCCTCCCGTAATTAACCACGCAGTATTAAAATCGAGCCGGACTTACCGCGAAGATGATGTTGAAAATGATGAGGATATATTTGCAGAGCAAGCCACATCCATCCAGAGCCATGATGATGATGATCAGCGGATCGTTGAGCTGGACACACGGTGAAAGTCTGTAAAGTGCAAAAAGCAGAATTCCCTCACCACTCCGAGCAGGCCTGGCAGATGATGCGCATTTAAAAATACAATACAGTGTTAGTTTCTACTATTTCACTCTATTTAATCCGTTAATGCGCATTAAGCAGCCAGTATTGCGTTTAAAAGGTTTAGTAGTCTTTTTGATTTCAAATAGATCACAGCGTGGCAGAAACGCTCGCTGCGAAATCATCTCCCAAACCAATCGATCAATACCTTTATCGATGTTTGTCTGCCTGATCGGTCAGCTCAGCAGGTGGGAAACGAAACAACTAAATCTTGAACGCTGCTGCGTGTGGTTTTCCAAGACTCGATCTGCGTCACGCTCCGCCTCTTCGTCCTCTTCTCATTGGGCAAACCACGTGAGTGACACATGCTTTGACCCATGAGAAGGCGCAGTAACGGATCTATTTTAGAAGAAGAAAGAAAAGGAAACTTAGGGAGAAACGAGAGTTAAAAAGACAGCAATAGTGTGATTTACGCACACCAGCAAACAGACCGTGACTGTTTGCGTCATTTAAAATGTTCTAATTTTGCATAAACATAAAAAAAAAACGAAGAGTAGGGATCTAAGCTTTTTTTTTTGTCTATTACAGTTATAATCTTTCTTATTTCTTTTTTTTTCTTGTTTTTTTGGGTGGGGTGGGGTGGGGGGGAGGAGTCCCACACAGCACACGTGTGGCTTCCGTTCTGTGCACACAGCAAAATACAAAAATAATACCAAATATTTGACAATTGTGTTCTCCAGATTTTATTGCTTTATGCCACCCGTGTCAGTTCTCAGTTATCCAGTAATAAAGATTAAAGATTAGGACAAATGTAACATACGCCAGTCTAAAGAAATCTCAACATGAAAGACGCGAAATCGATCAATGTAGAGCAGTGTCACAAACCACGGAAGCCCCAGAAAAGTGCAATCAAACGATGAGTTTATTAACACACGGGAGAAAACATCAGCAGCATATGTCCACTGACTGGACTCGCGCCAGACAGAGCTTGAGACCCTCTGTAGACTAATGCAACAACTCTGAATGAGCACAAATATTTATGCAATGTGTATAAAATACTTCTGGCTGTACCTGTAATAAAAGTAAACATAATAGAAGGATCCTCAAATGCAATATCAATACTGTAAGAAATATTATTAAATGAAATAACGCTGTAAAGAATGTTATTAATGCAATTATAATGATGCAGATTATATGGCAGCAATGAAAGAATTTCTGTATCTCCACATTCCCTCTTTTGACATTCCAGAAGGAATGTCACCACACCCGTGTTGTATCACTCCTCAGCCCACTCTATGGCATCTAAGTTCCTCAATGGACACTGGAACACCGGAACGACCGCTCCGGGGTCCACTGCCCTTGCCACTACCTTTACCAACAATCCTCTACCAACAATCCTCTGACACAAGGAATGACACAACAACCACAGGTGACCAGTATCCCTAAAAGTGTAGCGAATGAAACCATTGCTGACATAGCCAAACCTTTCCACCGTCCAAACACGGATGCCACCCAGGACTCCACTGGGTTTCCGATACCTGAGTGCTCATGCATCGTTTTAGACAAATTTTCCGGCCCTCCAGAGCTCGGGTTACTGAGCCATCTGGGGCAGTATTATTTTTGGGGATAAAGGTGCAGCACAGCTAGGTCTCCGAACATAGCACAGACGCCCCCTTTTCTCCGCCAACAACATGTCAAGGGCCATTCGATTCTGCACTCCCATCAGCGAAGTCGGATTATTCTGCAAACCCTTCCATGGCGTCCCTGCTAAGGTTAGAGAGTCTCAGCAAGTTGTAATGAACGTAGTTAATGCGGTCATCATTCTTATTAGGCGTTATCCAAAGGAATATACTTTCAACCCCCGAAGCTACTGGGTCTGCCAGCTTATACTCGTTTAGAACTCCCCCGGGCACTCCTATGGAGTCTATCCTAGTCGGAGAGTTTTTAGGCGGGGGTCATATGCATGTATACCCTGGGTCCCTCTTTTTGCCAAAATGTGTCTCTTATGTCTGGCTCCTAAGGTATGTGTGTTGTGTTGCTGAATAGTCTTTACCTGATTTCCAATCAGTATGAGTGGAGCTCCCAGTCGCACCATCGCACATGTCCCTACGCTTCCCATTGGGACACGAACCAAAAGGGTGCTTTGCCCACAATAATAATTCAACCCACTTCTTGCCCATGTTCCAATTAATGTGCTCGGGTCACTCACATTATTCGTGGTTCTTCCGGTGGGTGTGACGGCACACCAAGTAGGGTCGATTTCTCCCACCTGGTACTTTACATTATCTTTAGAAAACTTGAAACATGTATAGTTATCTTGTTTTGGCATAAATGAATTGGCATTCTCCGCTTGCCAAACAAATAATCTGTTTGGTGCCGAGATTATTAGTTTATCAGTTAGATTTGTCATTGAGTTTTTAAGTGCGACTCAGGCTTTGGGGTAAACTAAGTGTACCCTAATTACCCCAAACGAATCTGTTCCTGACATGTCCACCCCGATTACCAGATAGAATACGCCTCCCGGGCTCTCGGCTTTAGGCAGTATATTCCATGGACCTAAGAAGATGGTGACAGGCTATGAAAAACAGAATAAACCCTTTGAATTACTATTCCTTTCAGGCCTTCCGGGACATGTGACTGCCATCCTACTCCTGTCCAACCTACCACATTTTCCCAGGAGCATCACTGACCTGCTGTGTATGTATGGATGTGTTTGCCCCAGGAGGGGCTCCAATAAACATGACTGGAGCATATCATAGGGTGATTTCAGACCCACACATCATATGCTCTCCAGCTGCTACTAGCTCCTGCACACTTAATGACGTCACACAAATCAAACGTGAATGAGCTGGTGGACCCTTTAACATAATTTAAATCTATGCCGTTGTATGTGCTGAGACACTCATCACCTTTACCTGACACCTCGCGCTTTAGCCTTTTCACCAATCTCGTTTTAGCAACTATTGTCTCAGGAAGTGCTGTGCTGGACTGGCATCCGCTTCCGACCGATTCACAAAATGCGCCCTGCAACATAGAGGCTGTATCCCAATTCAGGGTCTGCAGCCTTAAAGTACGCAGCTGTTGAGCTAGTTAATAGGTATGCCCTCGTTGTCATCTGTTGTGATTTTATTTTGAAAGGATGCTTCCTGTTATGCTGCAGAGTGCACGCGAGAGTTCAATAAAAACTAAGTGTTGTTCCGGTGAAAGCTGATGCCCCACGTGTGATTATTCCTCCGTCTAGACAATATAAGTATCTTCAATATTCATGCAGATTCTGCTGGAAGACTCGTCTCTGCTAACAGGTTATGGGCCCAGGAAAACATTGAAGCTACGCCAGGGGAAAGTTTACCACCAGAAAAGTCGCAAAGTACAGCGTGTTCGGTGAAGACTAGCGTGCTAAGTTAGCACCATGAATAAGCGTGCTGGTGAACCCAGTGGCCGATGGGCAAGGTTGGTTTTTGACGGAGATGAGAAGAATTATGAACTGTGGGAGACAAAATTTTTGGGACATCTTAGATTACAAGGTCTAAAAGAC